TCTCTTCCCCCCACAGAAGACTGGGTCCTTCTGTGATGCCCACTATAGGACACACACCCTGCTTACATCTCTTTGTTCCTGTCTTAATTATTTTAACTCAATCCTCACAGAAGTCAAAGGTGGGGGGAAAAGCACATATTTACTTAAAAGGGGGAGGGGGTTAAACAGTACAGTAAGCAAACAGGGTAAGGTAGGCCTTGGCCCAGGCTCAAGAGAACACCCCTTCCAGTCCAAGCTCCATCAGTCTTTCCTGCTTTCCTTTAAAAAAAAAAAAGAAAAAACAAACAAACAAACAACAACAAAAAAAAAGCAAATAACCCAGCAAGCAAAACTTTTTGTTCTCTGGGAAGGCTGTTTCTTCAACTTTAAGAACTGATGAGGATAGCAGCAGCCAGGCAGGGGGTTGTAAGAAAAGAACCTCTTCCACCTACACCCCTCCCCCAAGAAAGTTTCCTGCACTTAAACAGTTTGAAATCTACTGGCTTCAAGATCTCTAAGCTTCCCTCCTAGTGTCCCAAAGAGAAGTGACAAAGGAAAGTAAAAAATGAGTAAACTTAACCATCCTTTGTAGTATCAGGCACCCAGAAGTAACCTCTGTGCTTAGGTCTGCAACACTGGTAAGCTGTTAGCCAGGCATAAATTTAATCAAGTGATATGAAAACAACAACAACAAAAAAAAACAACTTTTTTCAAGGTTGTGTATCTTTGCTACCTTCTTAGTCTTCCCTGTGCCCTATCTACATCCACCATTGAAAACCAATCTCTATAGAACTGGGTCCTGTTTCTTCATGGGATTGTATACATCATATCTTTTCCAAGTAGTACAAGACACTTTTTCCTAATTTCCTAAATTTAATTATCTGGCATCACAGGTTTTAACACTTTGTAGCAGAGCTCTTTGTCATTTTGAAGACATAAGATAAGTTTTTGCCCCCCCCCAAAAAACTGTGCTTTCAGAGTTTGTGATCTTATATGGCTAAGACTATACACATAAGTTATGAAGAATCAAAGCCATTTAAAAGCTTCTGATGCAACAAGTTACCAGAACATATGGTCGGAATTGGGCCCGGTCTTACAACATAACTAGTGATTCCCAGGAAGGAAGAGCTATGTGTTCTGTCCTCTGCAAACTTAGCAAGGCAGGATAATTCAGAAATAGTCAGCTCAAAGTACGGGAATGTGAAATGGGGGTAAAGTAATACACATTACCCTGTTTCTTTAACTGACAGATACCAAGGAGAATCCTAAAACAGGCCAATTCTAACCATGATGGTAGTTTATGTAGTGCAGGCAGTCTATGACTATGACTTTTCTCAAATTATAAATTTGCATATGCAAATGTTTGGACTGCATGGCTGACACAATGTTCCTTGAGAAATGTTTGGATTGTCTAATGTTCATTTATCTATTGTTTTTGTTGTTTTGTTTCTTTTTTGATGTAATTGGATACTCAACCCATGGATTTACCTGACCACTTGTTTTGCAAGTGCAGTGCCACTGAGACATATTCCCAAGCCATGATGCATTCCTTTTAAAACCAATATCACATATGAAATCTTAAAATTCATTTTCACAGAGTAAATAAAAATGTACAGGACTAAAAATGTATGAAGCGCACTGCATCACAAATAACATAAAAGACATTTATAAAAACTAAGACAACAAATTCAAATCTCAGCATAGTAACATTTTGAAGGTTAACAGTAATCTGAAAACACTGTGGTACAGATACTGGCAAGTTTTCTTGGTCAGAGGAGTTTTGCACTATGTGTCCACTTGGCAGAAACCACAGTGGGCACATTGTTTAAATGAGGGCAATGACGTACTAACAATGATTATTATAGCATTATTTTTCTTTTTCAGAAACAATGAAGGAACTGTTAATCATGTTGTAGAAGATATATAAGAAACAATTGAAAAATTTGAATTTTATGAAAATATACTTATTACCTAATAGAAAAAAAACAACTTCATAATTTAGTAATGAACAATATATTACCACAATTATAGAAAAATGAGTATAATATGCAAAACACATTAAGAAAGATTACACTTTTTCATTTATTCTCTTCCATATATTTCAAAGTGACTACAACAAAACTGAATCAGAAAGCCAGGCTTATGACACACTTCTGTTATCCCAGAGCATGGAAGGGTGAGTCAGAAGAATAAAAGCAGATTGAACTCCAGAGGTATACCCTATCTCAAAAATAACCAACAACATAAACAAGAGAGATTGCCATTTCATGATATGCAATTAATGATAAATTAATAGTGACTGTGTGAAACAATTTCTTCAGCAGGTTTATAAATGCCCACACCCACTGGACGAGGATCAAAGGAGCAGTTAGCCTTCTCCATGGAAACAATAAAAACTGCCAGAGGACAGAGAAATGAAGTAGAATTCATGTAGGTCTTCTCTCAACGCTGACATTCCTTTTAGGGTGGAAACAGTAGAACAGTCCCAGCCACATCTTCTACTCATCTCTTCCCTTGATAACACCATCATTACTCACTCTCCCTACCAAAAATTCTTTGCCCCTCTAGCTACACTGAAGGAGGGAGATAACTTTCCATAACTACCAGTTCTGCCCTCATAGGTGAAGGTCAAATTTATGTGCATGCATAGGTAGCTTTAATGAATCAAAATCTATAGGATCTAGTAAGTCTAGTGAGAGTATAAAAAGCATGTACTAAAGTACCACAAGTTCAGAGATATGAGGAATAGACACATACTGGAGTCCTGGAGGGTAGTGATTTTAGCAAGTAGTTAGGGGAAATCTTAAATGTGCAGTCACTTAGAATTTGTATTTCTTTGAGGTTTGTCAAGGCATTTTGATGGGGACTACCTCAAGACAGTGGGAAAATAAACAGTAGTTCAGTGGTAGTGTGTTCATTGAGTGCTCCAAGCTCTAAGTTCCATCCCCAGCAGAGTGGTGAGGGGCGGGGATAGTATTAATAATTACATATCCAGAGACCACAAACATAACTAAAAAGGAAAAATATTTAATATATGTGTTACAGTGAGGTTAATTTCTACATTTGCAACATAAAATCAATACTATTTTTCAAATTTATAAATGATGACGACTGCACAAAAACCCAAAGTTTACATAGACTGGGAATTGACTTTCATGTGGCATGTATCCATAGAATAAAAAGTTGTGCCTTTTATACAAGATTGTCAAAAACAAATTTAATTAATATAAAAAGTTTGAATTTATAAAGTCAATGAATCTACTTCTAGAAATATGATAAGAATTATGATAATGTTCTTTGTAAGTTAAAGAAACAATATTTTTGAGTAATGTATTAATATTTTCCTCCTTGACTCAGTTCACTCAAAATGACATAATGTTTTTCCTACAAGAAGTAGAAAAGGTAATCTCAAGAGGCTACATTTACGGAGACTTTATCACACCCACTCTCAAATAAATAAATAAATGAATATCTGATTTAAAGCTCTCTCCCTACAACACATGTCATGGCAAACAGTAGAGATAGAAATAACGTGGCATCTAGTAGTGAGGACCCAAGTTAAGAACCTGTTGAACTATTTATGCAGTCTATCAACACTGAAGCAGATACTGCAGTCACCACCCTTTATATTTACAGCAATTGTAGCACACAGATGTGAAATCACATTCTAAAATACACACTCCTGTAGAACACCTTTTTGTGCCAAATACAAGAAAAAACAAGACACTCTGGGGAAGAATGTAAGCCTGGAAACAGCAGTGGTTTTAAATTATACTTATTACTCACATAGTTTTAATGTAAAGAAAAAGCACACAGGACATTGTTTAAACACATAAGGCATTATGAAATGTCACACTGCATTTGAAAACAAAATTACCCCCCAGAAATCAAACACTAATTCATACACACAACATATCTACTCAGAACATAATGCTAGCTACTTTTTTGTGTGCTTAATAATCGATGGTGCGCAAAAAAAAAAAAAGCAAACCAGTACAGATCTTCTCCTTAGCAGCAATACTTTTAAAATATTTGATAATGAGATGGGGCTATGAGTTGTTTCATATCACTTATTAAATAATTTTGTCACACTGAAGATAATGTTCAAGTGACAAATAACTCATGCTAAATATATGAGATTTTTAATGTGACATACAGCAATTACATATATCAATGGAATTTGGTCTGATTTTATAAAAGAATTTTTAAGATGCTAAAGCAAAGGCACAAATATGCATTCTAGTATGTTAAAAAAAGACCCGTATGCATTAGAAAATCTCTAAGGCAATTACCATAAAATACAATTATTGGTGACCACTAGGTGATGGGACTGTAGGAAAAAAAAACTTGTTTTCATTAACACTTTACAGAAATTTTCCAGACGAAGTGAAACAAAGTCTACACTGAAAGAACACACTGATAAAGGTCCACAAACCCCAGGACAAGCAGGAGACAGAATAATAAGGCCTTTCAGAGAAGCCAAAATACAAGTAACTGTAGTGTTTAGGCTGCCCCACAACAGTAAAGCCAACTTGAAAAATAAAGGGATTTGTTCTAAGGCTGTGAATATTAACAAGGTAAAATCTAGAATTTATTAACTCAATTGCCAGTTCCAGGCAGACACAAATCCTACTAGGGGAAAAGGAGGGGAAGGGGAGAACGGGAAGAAGGTAAGGGAAGGAAGGAAAAAAAGCCTTTTCAGTTTAAAAAGACTCACAGTATATTTTCAAACACATAGGGCAGAGGAGAAGGGGTTGTATGGCGCAACACTGCCATCTAAGACTTTAAAGAAACAGACAGGCACCCACATCGGAGGATCGTCCATCTTCGGAGGATCATCCATCTTTTCCGCTGCTTTTCTGCCCACAGCCCATAAGATGAAGGCTGGGAAAAACAGGTGGGATGAACAACACACAACGCACTCAAACCTGAGCAAGGGAACTGGAGAACCATTCAAACAAAGGAAGCCTTTCTTAAGTCCCGCCCGCGGAACCATGGCAACAGCAACAGGAAGTCCCTACCACATTGGAAAGATGAGCTCTTCTTAGGGTAGGATTGGCTGGTTCAGAATCTGCAAGCATATGCTGGGGAGGTTGCTGCCAGGCTGCTAGTCCGGCTCCGGGTCTCCTGCACTTTCCTTCCGACGCTGTGGTTGCCTGTTGCCTAAGAGACGTGGTTGGTGATGTCCAGAACCTATTCCCGACAGCCCCCTGCGCCTCAAGCTCAAGACGTGTACAAGGACATGCTCCTCCCACTCACCCCAGCCTCAAACCCACTTCTGACGCACTCACTGTCCTCCAGGCCCTCACCTATCCGAATCTAACTGCCCACTGCAGTGTCTACGCCACCAAGCAAGCCGCCATCGGGGCCTCTCATCCTTTGGGGCCCTCTTTCCCTCTTAGGTCACACCTACGCATCAGGGAACAACTAGCCTGCAGGGCTAATAATGGATAGATGCCCTGCCAGTATCTGAGCTCCCAGACAATGACAAGAAAAATCTTAAAAGCCTTCGGAATTATTTGAGCTATAGCCTAACATAACTGAAAAAATCATATTTCATAACAAAAACGGTTTCATTTTGTAGTGTAACTGTACACTATTTTTTTTAATAACAGTAGGTTTGCCATAAAGACTGATAGGCAGCTCTTTACTTTTCATAGGGTCTCCTGGTGGGCCAAGACCTAAAAGAACTTCCCTTCCATCTGAGTTCCACTCTTTCCCTGGAGAACCTTTATTTCCTGGGCATGCTGTTTCCTCAGCTGTAAGACTATGAAGTCAGAGAACTCAGTATTCAGGCAAGGAGGTGATAAGAAAGACCCTGCTTCTGCTATAGCTCCACCATGCACCACACTTTCCCCTCTCCCAGGAGTTTCTATCACTTAGAATTTAAAATACATTGGTTTACGTGATCTCTAAGTTTTCCTTTCTATTCAATATCCCAGACACACAGAAAAAAAAATAAGACAACAAATAGGAAATTCCAAGAATGAGTAAACTTTGTCATCCTGAAGAGAGCCACATACCCAAAAGTAACCTCTAAGCTTAGGTCTACATTAATGACAAGCTTTTGAATTAAGAGAATTTTTCACTCTTATATTTTTGGTTGTGAGCCTAGCCTTTAACGGCTGAGCTATCCCTCCAGCCCTGAATGTTTCACTCTTAAGATACTTTTTTTAGTGCCCTACTGTGTCCTGCCTAAACGGTATAGAGGTGCATGAACAGCAACAGCATCCAAAACTACTAAACTCCATAGATATTTGAATCCTTCTATTTCAGGTGACATTTTTTTAACAAGCTAACCTTTTCAAATAGTAAGCTCATTATATATGGCAACGCAGGTTGTATTATTTTCTTATAGCACCCTTTCTGATTTGAAGGTGCATGAAGAACCTTTACTTCTAAAGTCGTGACTCCAGAGCTTGTGGTCTGCTAGAACATCATGTAAGATTTGAGTATATACTTCTAAGAATCAAAGCCTACAAACTTTCAGTTTCAAGTGTTACTACAGTCAGAGCCTAGACCCTGGCAGACCACCTATCCCCAATAAGCCAATTAAATAAAGTAACAGTAAAAATTGGAAAGATCTGTTTACTGCAGCCATTGTGGTCAGAGGAGCATAGAATTCAAGTGATCTGCCCCCAAGCCCATTTTTCTAGTATACAGCAGTGATATTTAGGTTTAGATCGAGGGACCAAAAGGATGCAGACCTAAGTGATCCTGGTTAAGGTGTGGTCCCAGCCATCATCATATTTTAACTCCAGTCTCTTAAAAGGTAGTCTGACAATGTATCAGAACTGTGCACAATGTCTTCAAGAGACAGCTGCTCTCCCTGTCTGGCACAGAGTTTATTTTAGTTCCCCCAGAATGAAATTCCTGGGGAAATTTCCAATTCCTTGAGATCCATTGTTGAACAGATAGCCAGAGGAGGAAATATTTAAGTGTCTCTTTAGGACATCTTCACTCTTGCCTGGATATTTACACAAGGAAATAACAGATTCCACGGTCAGTAACAGGACTTGCTATTTCCCAGAAGTAAAGCATACGTGCTTTATCCTTAGGGTGGAGAAATTGTCCAAATGTATCCAAAGTAAGATATCACAAGGCAAAAAATAAACAAACAAGTGACTCAAATTTAGTAATTTTTTTGAACCAGGGTCTCAAGTAGAGCATGCCGACCTCCAACTAGCTACATAAGTGAGGGTATCATGTACTCCTGATCCTCCTGTCTCTATTCCTAAATGCTAGGATTACAAGTATGTACCACCATGCCCAGCTATGACTCAAATGTAAGTGGCCTATTCAACTGATATACACAAAGAGAACAAGAGGCTAGACAACCTCAAAGTTGAGGCAAGATGGGAGTTTATCTAGGACAGGGAATAGAGTTTATGACTGTGTACCACCCCAGATTCCAAAACTTTTTTTTTCTGTAAGCTGTTTTCCATCACCTGTTAAATATTTACTTATGAGATTGTTTTTCTTTTTCTTGTTACTCCTTTGTTTTTACTTTTTGCTGATCTGGGAATTGAACTCAGATCCTTCCAAGTGCTAAGTAAATGCTCTAACACTGAATGTATAGTTCTGACCACAAAGTACTCATTTTATTTTTTACTAGTTTTAAATTTTTATTTATATTTTATGCTTGAGTGCTTTGCTGTATACATGCATGTATACATGCATGCCAGAAGAGGGTATCTGCTTCTATTATAGATGGTTGTAAGCCACAATGTGCTTGCTAGGAATTGAACTCAGGACCTCTACAGTCTGTGCTCTTAACCTGTGAGCCATCTCTCCAGCTCCAAAGTACTCATTTTAAATTAAGAGTATCTTATATGAAATCTTGTAAGCTCATTTTATATAAAAGTATGAAAAGTAAATGCAGACATTTTAAATGAAAATGCAGACCCTCAATGTAATTTAAGAGAATTTATTTTAAAAGAAAAGCAATACAGCAAAGTCTGAATTTAGTAACATTTAAAAGGTCAGCAATAATCTCAAGGTACAGTAATGAAGACACTTGATAAATATTCTCAAAGGAATTTTGCAAAATGTATCTCTAGCAGTCTCAACAGAAGCCAATATATTCTAAAGTGACACACTTGTGCCCCTGGCCTAGGCTATCAAACTATTGAAACAACAGACCCTAAGAAACAGGAATTTACCAAGAGTCCCATTCTGGTAAGGAAAAGGCTGGGCCTAGGTACCAGCCAGAGGGGAGCTTATCTCCTGGAAAGAGATGTCACACATTGCTGACAGCTACATGGTTGACCTTGCAGGACTGGCAGTGATGTGTCAGTTGGGGGGTAGGATCACATCCTGACCAGAACTGCTTAGTCATACCTAAGTCTCACCCTCTACTAAACCCTAAGCCAGATGTCAGGACCCCCAAAATGGGGGTGGCTGAACCTCTTTACTCTTTCCTCTTCCCAGTGTGGCCACACTGAAATCTTTTTCTCTCCTTCACTATTACTTGTCTCTCTAACTGGCTTATTGACGATGAATGAATCTCAGAATCTATCTTGTTAGGGCTGCTAGGACCAGTTTGCTGAAACCCAGCAACTCCAGAAACATGTCAACTTGTAGATAGAAATCAACATGAGAATTATCGTCTCAAATGTGGACAAGGATTTATTAACAATATTTGTTGTATGCCTTCCAGTGAGAAATTTTCATTATGCATACTATATAATTAAGAGATTAATGAAGAAAACGCTCTCTCTTAGCACTTGTCCAGCTCTAGCAATTGCTCAAAGAGGAGACAGTCAAAACCAGAAGATGTCACTAGCTTACGTATACGTATACTTCATGTTTACGCATTCCACACATGCTGTCATCCTTAAATCTCTTTTAGACCCCAGCCCCAGGTTACACTTTGAGCAATGTAAACAAAGACAGCAGACTCAAGTCTGGCCACTTGGGCAGATGGGAAAGTTACACAGCAGATATGTTGCCAGAATTATTTTTTAAGTACACCTGTGCTGTTCTTTTCCAGTAGTTAACCTGGGTCATCCTGCCTACCTGGCAGAATTAATGCTTTTCTGAAAAAGAGCACAGGGGACTCAATGGCAGACCAGGACTTAATGGTGGTTGTGACCCAGCACTGCCTGCTAGAGGAATGTTCTTAGATAATGGCTGATTGTAAAATGGAGGAGCCTAATTGGAAGTTTATCTTGATGAGTAAACATTAGCAGAAAGTTTTCCAGCAAACTCAAATTGTGGCACAGACTTTTCTTTCTCCATTCCTCATATGTCTTTCACTTTGCAGGAGGCAGGGAGGAGGGTCAAGACAGAGCTTCCTTGTGAAGCCCTGCCTGTCCTGGAATGTACTATGTAAACCAGATTGGCCTCAAACTCAGAGAGTCACCTGCCTCATCCTCTCAAATACTAGGATTAAAGGTGTGCATCACCACCACCACCACCACCATCTAGTCTTATTGAAGGTAGCACATAGTTAAATTCTACTTTGTACAATTTAATAGTCCCTAAGCAAGCTTATTAAAATATCCTTTGTATTTTTGACAAGGAAGCCAAAATTATACAATGGAAAAAAGAAAGCATTTTCAACAAATGATGCTAGCAAAACTGAATGTCTTTATGTAGAAAGGATGCAAACAGATCCATATCTATCGCCATGCACAAAACTCAAGTTCAAGTCAATCAAAGATCTCAATACAAATCCAGATACACTGAGCCTGACAGAAGAGAAAGTGGGAAATAGCCATGAATGCATTGGGACAGGAGACAACTTCCTGACTAGAACACCAGAAGCACAGAGAGTGAGATCAACAATTAATGAGACCTCAAGAAAGTGAAAAACTTCTCTAAGGCAAAGGACACTGTCAATAGGACAAAACATCAGCTTACAGAATGGGAAAAGATCTTCACCAACCCCACATCTGACAGAGGGCTGATATCAAAAATATATAAAGGACTTAAGAAACTCAACATCAAAAAAACAAAACAAAACAAATAATCCTCTAGGTGGTGGTGGCTCAAACCTTTAATTCAAGCACTCAGAAGGTAGAGACAAGCAGATCTCTAAGTTAGAGGCCAGCCTGGTCTACAAAGGGAGGTCCAGGACAGCCAGGGCTACACAGAGAAACCCTGTCTTTAAAAAACTAAAAATAAATAAATAGATAACCTAATTAAAATTGGATATAGATTTAACTGGAGAATTCTCAAAAGAGAAATCATAAATGAATGAGAAACA